TTTGTATTCTTTTTTTTTTTTTTTTTTTTTTGGGGTTTTTTTTTTTTTCCCTTTTTTTTTTTTTTTTTTTTTTTTTTTTTTTTTTTTTTTTTTTAAGATTACTGAAGCAGGAGAAGGTTCTCAGAAAATACACATTTGATTGTTCTAATTTACCTGGAGCTCACGACAGAGCAGGTTCAGTTGAGATATTTTCCAGCTGCTCCACTTCAATAGAACTAACTCTCTCAATCTTGCCTTAGTATAGCTCTGCTTGATTCTGGAGAAAAAAATGTTTACTATTCTATAGTGTTTTTCTGTTTGGCTACAACTAGCATTCTCTCGTTATCATCGTGATTATGGTATTTCCTTCAGAATTGTTTCCTCCTTTTGCTTCATCAGGACAAAATACCTTTGCTCAACATAAAGATTCTGATTTATAGTTCAGCAGATTTCAGAACTTACCCTATTTCTCCTGGCACCTCCAAAAGAGGGGCATTTCTGGTGCAATCCTGATTTTTCAAAAGCTCAACTCATTGTCCAAAAAACACCCCATTCTTTGTAATTTGATAAGCTTACTCAACCTCAGTCCCCTTCAATATGTGTTTCCAGTTTGGATTCCTCAGACTACATTCCTGACATCCTTCCATCCAAATTATTTAGATTCTGTCCTTTCAGATTGAAGCGAGACTTCAGTAACTTAGCAGTTTTAACACTCAGTTGTTCTGTCAATTCCCAGTCAGGAAACTGTTTCATTCTGTTTTGGGAGACAGGATCTGGTATTTAGTATGCATGGAAGCTTCTATTTTTGTATTAACTTTTAAAAGCTGCTTCTGCATTATAAAATTGTTTTTAATTAAAAATCATCATCCAAGAGAAATTCAGAACTAGCTAATTGGGTCTACATAAGACCCTTTTTCAATAAAGTGGTTTAGTTATTCCCAGTTGAATAAAAACCAGTTTATTCTGTATGCATTTAATTGTATTACTTAGTATACCTGCCCAAATAATTTACAGACTATCTTTTGACTGAATACCCTGCATATTTATGGTGCTATATAAATAACTATATGTAATTTCTGTTGGGTGTTTCTATGATGGGTTAGGGCACGTGATCTATTTACATGTACTTTAGTTAACAGTTAAAATTGAACTGGTTTAAAGTTGTTTCAAGAATGTTTTATAAATTATGAACCTAGTGCTGTACCCAAATTTTTGTAAGTTCATTTTTAAATCTGTATATATGGAAATAATCCACGACAGTTCACATGCTGCCTTTGACACGCGTGCCATAGGTTGCCTACCCCTGGCATAGAGAGTATGCTTATAATGTTTGCAGATGATACCAAGCTGGGAAGAGTTGCAAGCGCTTTGGAGGACATGATTCAAATTCAAAATGATCTTGACAAACTGGAAACATGGTCTGAGGCCTTGGCTACACTGGCGCTGTACAGCGCTGCAACTTGCTGCGCTCAGGGGTGTGAAAACAGACCCCCCCCCCCTGAGTGCAGCGCTGTAAAGCGCCAGTGTAATCAGCGCCTGCAGCGCTGCACACTCGCTCGCAGCACTGCAAGCTATTCCCCTCGGAGAGGTGGAGTACTTGCAGCGCTGGGAGAAAGCTCTCGCAGTGCTGGCGGCGCGACTAGTGTAGCCAAAGCCTGAAATAAATAGGATGAAATTCAGCAAGGACAGGTGCAAAGTATTCCACTTTGGAAGGAATAATCAATTGCACAAATACAAAATGGTGCTTTATGGCATGTTGAAAATTACTCAGAACTAAGGCAGTCTTGAAATTTCTCGTCGGGGAACTATTACAGGTTTTTGACAGCTTTAGGACACTGTGTTTAAAAGCATCTGATGAAGTGGGCTGTAGCCCAGAAAGCTTATGCTCAAATAAATTAGTCTCTAAGGTGCCACAAGTACTCCTGTTCTTTTTGCAGATACAGACTAACACGGCTGCTACTCTGAAACTTATTTTTCTCAGAGTCTTTCTTTTTTACTGTTAATTACTGGCTGATTGCAGTCATTATAATGCTAACGTGGATTGGAACCAGTAATAATGGGCAAACACATTCAGCTGAATACTTCTGGTTTAAAAAAAACCCTGTAAAATAATTAACAATGTCAACATTTAAACTTGTCAATAAAATGTATAGTTAGGTAGCATGGACAAACTGTTGGAGGCAGGTACAATCTGTTCGGGTTAGGGTATAATAATATGGTTTTGAGTTTTTATCATTTAAATCTATGTGCTAGTATTAGGCTTCAGAGTTATCATCCATTGGGATGACTATAAGCGTTCATATGCCTAAAAGTTATTATTTCAGGCTGTTTGTAGACATGGAAGGAGAAAGTTACAATTGGTTTCCACTCAATTCATGTCTGCAAGATTGTTTTCAATAATAAGGTACTGAAATTTAAATATTTACAACATGCTAGAGTCTGCGGTGAGATGGTAAATTCTACTGTTGTGGAATTTCAGAATATACAGGGTCTTTTCTTATGATTAAGGTTGCCTAAACATTTCTGTAACTAGCACTTAGTATGAGTATTTACCCTTTTTCTTCTTTAAAAATTAATCTATATATCTATATAGATCTAAATTAGAAAGGCCAAGGCACAAAACAAGATTAAACTAGCTAGAGACATAAAGAGTAACAAAAAAACATTTTACAAATACATTAGAAACAAAAGGAAGACCAAGCACAGAGTAGGCCCATTACTCAATGGGGAGGGAAAGACAATAACAGAAAATGTAGTAATGACTGAAGTGCTAAATTCCTTTTTTGTTTGATTTCACCAAAAAGGTTAGCAGTGATCAGACAGCTAACCTAGCAAACATCAGTGTAAATAGGGAAGGATCTGAGGCTAAAATAGTTAAAGAACAAGTTAAGAATTATTAAGGGCTTGTCTACACTGGCAGTTTACAGTGCTGCAACTTTCTCGCTCAGGGGTGTGAAAAAACACTCCCCTGAACGCAGCAAGTTTCAGCACCATGAAGCTTCAGTGTAGACAGTGCACTAGCGCTGGGAGCTGTGCCCCTCGTGGACCAGTGTTGCCAATGTAGACTAGCCCTTAGACAAGTTAGAAGTCTTCAAGATGGCAGGGCCTGAGGAAATACATCTTAAAATACTTAAGGAACTGGCTGAAGAGAACTAGGCGGAGGGATAGCTCAGTGGTTTGAGCATTGGCCTGCTAAATCCAGGGTTGTGAGTTCAATCCTTGAGGGGGCCACTTAAGATCTGGGGCAAAATCAGTATTTAGTCCTGCTAGTGAAGGCAAGGGGCTGGACTCAATGACCTTTCGGGGTCCTTTCCAGTTCTGTGAGATAGGTATATCTCCATATATTATTTTATTGGGCCAAAAGAAATCTGATGAGGTTCAACAAGGACAAGTGCAGAGTTCTGCACTTAGCATGGAAGAATCCCATGCACTGCTACAGACTAGGGACCAAGTGGTTAGGCAGCAGTTCTGTAGAAAAAGACCTAGGGGTTACAGTGGACGAGAAGCTGGATATGAGTCAACAGTATGCCCTTGTTGCCAAGAAGGCTAACGGCATTTTGGGCTGTATAAGTAGGAGCACTGACATGATCATTTCCCTCTATTCAGCATTGGTGAGGCCTCATCTGGAGTACTGTATCCAGTTTTGGACCCCACGCTACAAGAAGGATGTGGAAAAATTGGAAAGAGTCCAGCGAAGGGCAAAAAAATGATTAGGGGCTGGAGCACATGACTTATGAGGAGAGGCTGAGGGAACTGGGATTATTTAGTCTGCAGAAGAGAAGAATGAGCGGAGATTTGATATCTGCTTTCAACTACCTGAAAGGGGGTTCCAAAGAGGATGGATCTAGACTGTTCTCAGTGGTACCTGATGACAGAACAAGGAGAAATGGTCTCAAATTGCAGTGGGGGAGGTTTAGGTTGCATATTAGGAAACACTATTTTACTGGGAGAGTGGTGAAGCACTGGAATGGGTTACCTGGGGAGGTGGTGGAATCTTTCCTTAGAGGTTTTTAAGGTCAGGCTTGACAAAGCCCTGGCTGGGATGATTTAGTTGGGAATTGGTCCTGCTTTGAGTAGGGGTTGGAGTAGATGACCTCCTGAGGTCCCTTCCAACCCTGATATTCTATGATTAGTGATTATCTTTGAGAACTTGTGGAGAATTGGAGAGATCCCAGAGGACTGAAAAAGGGCAAATGTGGTACCTAATTATGAAAAGGGCATAAAGACAACCCAGGAAATTATAGACCAGTCAGATTAACTTTGGTACCCAGAAAGATAATGGAGCAAATAATCAATCAATCAGTTTGTAAGTACCTAGAAGATAATGTGGTGATAAGTAACAATAAGCGTGGATTTGTCAAGAACAAATCACATCAAGCCAACCTAATAACCTTCTTTGACAGTGTAACAAGCTTTGTGGATGGGGGAAGGCATATATATGATATCTTGACTTTAGTAAGGCCTTTGATGCTGACTCACAAGACCTTCTCATAAGCAAACTAGGGAAATATAGCCTAGAGAGATGAATTTACCATGAGATGGGTGTACAGTTGGTTGGAAAATCATACTCCAAGAGTAGTTACAAGTGGTTCACAGCCAAGCTGGAAGGACAAATTGAGTGGGGTCCCGATATCTTCATAAATGATTTGGATAATGGCATAGAGCAGGGGTCGGCAAACCTTTCAGAAGTGGTGTGCCGAGTCTTCATTTATTCACTCTAATTTAAGGTTTTGCATGCCAGTAATACATTTTAACATCTTTAGAAGGTCTCTTTCTATAAGTATATAATATATAACTAAACTATTGTTGTATGTAAAGTAAATAAGGTTTTTAAAATGTTTAAGAAGCTTCATTTAAAATTAAATTAAAATGCAGAGCCCCCCCTGCAGACCGGTGTCCAGAACCTGAGCAGTGTGAGTGCCACTGAAAATCAGTTCACGTGCCACCTTTGACACGCGTGCCATAGGTTGCCAACCCCTGGCATAGAGAGTATGTTTATAATGTTTGCAGATGATACCAAGCTGGGAAGAGTTGCAAGCGCTTTGGAGGACATGACTCGAATTCAAAATCATCTTGACAAACTGGAAACATGGTCTGAAATAAATAGGATGAAATTCAGCAAGGACAGGTGCAAAGTATTCCCCTTTGGAAGGAATAATCAATTGCACAAAGACAAAATGGGAAATGATTGCCTAGAAAGTAGTTACATAGAAAAGGATTTGGGGGTTATAGTGGATCACAAACTAAATATGAGTCAACAATGTAATACTGTTGCAAAAAAAGCAATAATTCTGGATGTACTACCAGGAGTGCGGTAAGCAAGACACAAGAAGTAATTTGTCCACTCTACTCCGCACTGATAAGGCTTCAGCTGGAGTATTGTGTCTGGTTCTGGGCACCGTACTTCAGGAAAGATGTGGACAAATGGGAGAAAGTCTAGAGGAGAGCAACAAAAATGATTCAAGGTCTAGAAAACATGACCTACGAGGAAAGATTGAAAAAATTGGGATGGTTTAGTCTGGAGAAGAGAAGACTGATG